GGAAAAAATAAATTTAAATCTAACCTCCAGAAAAGGACCGATTAAAGAAAGGCACCCCCGGAAGCCATGGACATTGTCTGTCTTTCCCAAAGATGATCTGAAAGGGAGATCGAAAACTTCAACATAAAGGCAGCTTCTTAAAATGGCCACCTCTGACTTCACGGGAAATAATTTTTGTTTTATCTCACAGAAGGTGCTAATTGGCTTATCAGAAGCAGGCAAATTTCATCATCACTCATTAAAGCTGTTGGAAAAGGACCCTGGGTGTACATTCAACACCTTCCAGCATTAGTGTAATTGTAAAAAAAAAAACCTCTGTGTGTGTGTGTGTGTATATGCTTGTGTGTGTGTTACAGGTAGCCCTCGACTTCCGACCACAATTGAGCCCAACATTTCTGCTGCCAGGTGAGACGTTTGCTCTATTTTACGACTTTTCTTGCCACAGTCGTTAATGCCCAAAATCTATTTTCGACTTCTAGCATCTTCCAAAAGTGGTTGGCTTCTAAACCGAGCTGTGTTTAAGAAACCAAGTTCATTATCCTTCATCTCAAATACACACATAACGTACCTCTGGGGATTGAACAGGCACATAGAGATACAGGAGTCCTTATTTGCAGACCTCCGCAAATCTCTTTTTTTTTGCAAAACACGGAGAGAGAGTTGTCTGACAGTCTAGATCTATGCCAAGTTTGCGTTTTACTTCTTTCCAACTAGAAAAGACAAGGATTAGACATTTTAATGTTTTGATTTTTGGGGTGTGTGTGTGTGTCTTATTGGCTTTTACTGTCTTAAAATGTTTTAAAGATTTTAATTCTAATCTACGTTTCTGAATTGTGAACCTTCCAGTGTTGATTGCCAGGATGGGCGGCTATGGCATTAGCACTTAGACTTATATACCGCTTCACGGTGCTTTTACAGCTCCCTCTAAGTGGTTTTCACAGAATCAACCTCTTGCCCCCAACAATCTGGATCCTTATTTTACTGACCTTGGAAGGATGGAAGGCTGAGTCAACCTGGAGCCTGGTGGGATTCGAATTGCCAACATTCTGGCAACTGGCAGCCAGCAGAAATAGCCTGCACTACTGCATTCTAACCACTGTGCCACATCGGCTTTATAGAAATCAAATCTAAACAAACCAACCAACCAACAAACAAACCTGTTTCAGTCAAGATTTGGGCTACTTTCTAGGAAGTCTCCATGCCTTCTAGCTACTTCCTCCTTCTCCCTGGGGTAGAAGCTGGGTAGCTCTCTTTGGGTGAGAATATGGGCTGCCAGCTCCCAACCGCAAGGTGGGATTAGGGTGTGCACCAGCATTTTGGAAGTCAATTCTCTATTGCCAAATTCATCAGGGGTAGATTCCCTGATAGAATATAGAACATAGAATATTTAGACTTAAGATATAATTTTCTTTGATATTATTTTTATAAAACTTTACTAAGATAGATTTGGTATGATCTTATGATTTGTTGTAAAATAAATTAAGTAAATTATAGTTATCTCGTTAAAGTATGAATTAACAAAATTATAGTTAAATGATTTCTCAGTAATGATACTAGGTTATACAATTGTTGATTGATAATATGAGTTATTATGTAATATAACTATAATGGCGTCTAGGAAACGGATGCACAAAAAAAAAGTGGTAAACCAACCGATACACTGTTTGTAAATCTATGAAGGAGGAGGATGTTTTTATGTTTTATGTTGTATGTTTTATGTGGTTTTGTTGTTAAAATCAATAAAAAAATTTTTTTAAAAAAAGAATTTGCTATATTTTAGAGGGGAGCACTTTATTCCTTCAGCCGAAAAATAACCTGGACATTAAGATTCAGATCTCATTGAAGAAAAGTGAGAAGAATTGTCTTCCGGTTTGCAGAGCTTCGGCAACGGCAGGAATCTGCAATCGTGCACGGTTTCTGCTTGCGCTTGCCGCTGGAGTGCCCCGATCCAGCCGGATTCGGGGCTATAGTTACCCCGTAGAGGTAACTGAAGATAGGGGAGATCCGGCAGGGGTAGGGGGAGAATCGCAACTCCTCTCCTTAGCTGGCTTAACTCCCTTTTCCGAAAGTGGTGGAGTGGCGGTCAGAAATGGCCGCCACAAAGAAGCTCTCATCCAGGAAAGTATGTGCAGGAGGAAGCTGAAAGGTGAAAGTTTTGGCTGACCGGGATAACAAGCAAAATTTAAAATACCCTGGAATTTAAATCTCATCAGAGATACATCGCTCCCAAAGAAGATCTGGAAGCAGCGAATGAAAGTGAAAAGGGAAAGTTTTTTGTTTCTCACTCCCCTTCCTTACGGTGACAGCAGATGAATGAGAAATTGGAAAAACCCGCTTTGGCACCAGCAGGTAATCAAACTGAAAAATTAAAGCCAAGGGGACAATAAAGATTTCTGAACATTGAAAAAAAAATGGAAGGGAGAGGAAAAGAATTAAGATTAAGATTTTGCTGGAGGAGGCTGCTTGGAACTTACAAGATTAGAGTTAAATGGTAACAAGACTTCTAAAAGATACTTTTTAATTGGAACTTTGCCGTTGAATTGTAACCCCAGGAAGAGAAAGCAAATTTCTGTCCGTCAGGATCTAATCAGGGATAATTTTCCCCTCCTTCCTCAGACCTGGAAAAAATAAAGATTTATTTGCACCAAGAAATTTGCACCAAGGCAGCAAATATGTTCAGGTAAAACAGTAACAAAAGTGTGCCATTTTCTATACTAGGTAGGGTATTCACACCACATTAAAAAAAACAACAACAACCTGATTCCCAGTAAAAGGCAGAAGTTCTCCATTGCATAAGTAATTTCCGACCATTAAGCAACCATTTACCAATGAATGAGAGGTGGAAAAATTAACCCAGGCTTCTCTAAGAAGCTGGTTTGCAACATCCAACTTCTAAGATTTTTGTCTAGATCGCTCTTAGTAATTTCCTTCCTTGACTGATGTAAGATCCTCTTTTTGGATTGAAGGATGACATCTGCCATATAATTGTAATAGCTACTTATCAGCTGCCTGTTTTCAAATCCTAGGTTCTTATTTCCTAACAAGTAGAAACAAGTATTTTTCGTTTGGTTTAGAAAATCCTGCATCCGATGGAAAACAGGTATATTATCCTTTGAAATACCACATAGTTTATACTACTTCCTTGGTGTCCTCAGCTGAGCAAAGAACTATTGTTTTGTTTTAGAAAGATTAAAACCTCTCCTTAAATCAACAACCACATGTATTTTTTAAGCTTACATGTCCCTTTCTATAATATGTCCCACCCTTCTTTTAATATTCTTGTCAAACCACTTCATCAGGACGAGGGCAAACAATTAAGTTTCTGGAACCCTAATATTCTTTCAAAGGACAAATGGTTAACCAGAACTACACCTTAACAAATATGTTTTCAATTTCAAACTGTTTAGAATTACAAAAAGCAAAATCCCACACCTCTAAAAGTGAACCAAGTTGGAATAGTGGCAAAGGTCCGGATTCAAATCCACCCTCCTGGGGTGATTCCAGGCGCCTATTCTCTCTCACCCCATCCAATTTAATAGGAATTGAGATTCCCATGCTCTCGGGAGAAAATTACTCTTCTAAATTACCATAGCACCGAAATCAATAACTTGTGACCGGTCCTTGCAGTTACGACCATTGCAACATGATTAGATTTCAGGGGCTTGACAACTGGTATGTATTTACAATAATTGCAGAGGTCAGGTTAGTGCCTCTTGCAATCTTTCCAGGCAGCTTTCCAACAAGCAATCCGTAAGGTAAGCTAGATTCACTTAGTGACTGCACAATTCACTTAATGACTACAGTGATACAGCAAATCCTTATTTGCAGACCTCCTCAAATCTCTTTACTGCAGAGCAGGGAGGCGGTTGGTTTTTTTTTCAAACACATCCTCTGCGGATCTCAAGTTCTTCAGATAAATCACTGTTCCGAACGGTCTGGATCCGTGCTAAGTTGGTGTCTTACTTCTTTCCAGCTAGAAAAGATAAGAAAAAAATATTTATGAAAGATTAGATGTTCATGAATGTTTTGTTTTTGTTTGGAAAGGGAACGTATTGGTTTTTTACTGTCTGTTGAGGTAATTCCCCGTTAGGAGAATGAGCACATACAGGGCGATGTATTTGAGAGTAGTGTTGGAATAATACACACAGAGCACACAGATACACTGTACAGTAAATGTAGGTTTTTACTTCCAGAAAGGTTTAAGCAAAGTCCAAAATAAGCAGTCCAAAAGTCATTCACAGGTAAATCAGTCAGTCTTTCAATCCAGGGATAATCCAAATATCAAATTCCTGTGTCAAAAACAGTTCAGTAGCAGACTTACATTAAATCCAGTAATATCAGTCAATTAGAAGAAATGGAGCAACGGCAATACTTTCCAACAGAAGGAAACAGAGATACACTCACACTCTCTTCTGAGACTCAGACTAAGACTAAGCAACCCAGGTTTCTGGCTCTATCTTATGGCCGTTTGAGAAACCACACCCAATTGCATGCTCTTGCATTCCCTTAAAGATATAGTACTAAAATGTTTATCCTGGTTTATATATTTCTAACCCAAATAGCTGTTAGGTGACTCATATTCCTAACACTGTCTATTGTTTAAAATGTTTTGAAGGTGTTAAACCTTATCTATGTTTCTGAATTGTCAAGAGTCCTTTGCCCCAGATGTGCAGCTATAGAAATCAAATCTAAATAAATAAATAAATAAACAAACCTGTTTCAGTCGAGAGTTGGGCTACTTTCAGGAAGTCTCCACGCCTTCTGGTACTTCCTCCTCCTCCCTGGGGGTGGAAGGTGGTAACTCTCTTGGGGGGGTGGAATATGGGGCTGCCAGCTCCCAACCACAAGGCGGGATTAGGGTGCGCGCCAGCCTATCAGATGGCAAAAATGGAGAGGCTGAGCAGGTGCCCATCCCATCCTTTCTCCTTTTAAATCTCTCCATCCAGCTCAGGGATGCTTATTTCAGAGCGGGCAAATCTCTTTTGGAAGACGGAGGGAGGAAGGAAATCCCACAGCATGGCTGAGCAGAGATGCATCCAGCTTTCAACAGAGAAGGTTACCAGCACTGTCCTTATTCTGGGCACTGAACTCTGCCTGGACGTCCACGGGTAAGCATCTAGACATTTCTCTTACGCAACTTTTTTTTTTTTTATTTACGGAAGAAAAGAAGAACTTAAAAAATTCAGTTTCGCAGAAGGCAGCTGAAATTTAGCAGACCCAAAAAATTGGGGCTTGTGTCTTTTCACTTCACAACTCTTTTAACTGCTGGGGAAGCAGTGGGGAAAGTGATTCACTAAATAGCCCAAAAGCATCTTTAGGAGTGAGTGAGGTATCTCAAAAAGAGAGAGAGAGAGAGAGAGACCTGGATTCCTGAACATCCCTCAGTGTTTGCAAAGAAGTCGTTGACCAGGTAATCTGCAAGGGTAACGGGGCGATGCTATCATTCGTTTTGCTATCCCTGAACCGCTGACAGGCAGCAGGAAAAGTATTTGGTTTCACAGAGGGAATAAATAAATAAGAAATAAATAATAAATAGTAGCTAGGGGGAAAAAAAAGAAATGTATTTGGTTTCACAGAGAGAAGGGAAGGGCCCCCATTGAATTTCCATTCAGAATTGATGGCAACACAATTCAACTGGTTAGCAGCGATAGGATAGGAGCTGGAAGGCCCCTTGGAGGTCTTGTAGTCTTGCTCAAGCAAACAAGAGGCTGCCCCGTCTCTTCTTAAAAGCCTCCAGCAATGAAGCACCTACATCAGGGGTCTCCAAACTTGGCAACTTTTAGGACTTGTGAACTTCCTTCCAGAATTCCTCAGCCAGAAGTTTTGGATGTTGAAGTTCACAAAGTCTTAAAAATGGCCAAGTTTGGAGAGCCCTGACCCCCAAGCCAAAAAGGAGAAATTAGATTTGCAATGATAGCCAGGAGCTTATTCTACAAAGGTTCTGATTCTTGCTGGATTTCTGAGAAGAATGGTAAAACACAGAGACTTTGTACTAAAATATCCTAGGTCATTCAGTTACTTATATCAAACCTGGATGGCAAAACTGATGAATATTTAACTTCTTTGTCTATTTGGTTATTTTTTTTTTAAAAAAATGCTGCTATCTGTGGTTACTGCAATTGTCATGATCTATTAAAGTAATACCTGCCAGGCTTCGTAAGGGGTTGTTGTGGTTGTCGCAGAGGTGAATGTGTGTGCACGGATGCACTGAATAAACACTGGCTCTGATCAGTCCATGATAGTGGGGCACACCTTGGAAATGTCAACCACACAACAGGATCAGAGTGAGATGTGAGAGAACCTGGGTGCAGGTAGATGGTGAAGGATCTGCCAATCTGTTGTCACCACAGCTGTGAATGCAGCACAATCCTTGCCAAAGCCACACACTTAAAAACTCTTACGTTGTTGAGTGAGATAAAAAAAACATAACCACAAAACCCTTGGGAACGTGATGGATGGTTTTAAGATTTGCAGGGAGCGATAGGTCCTAAAATGTTCTTTTTTAAAACAAGTTTGTAGTTCCTCTTTCTACCTTTGTTTTTTGACCGCTCACTGTGCAGAAAAACCTGGAGAACTGCTTTATTAAACCAAAGAAATAAATTTGGATTAGAAGGGAACTAAATGTGGCGAGAGAAGACAGACAAAGCAGGAAACTGACAATTAAAAAAAAGACAGCTCATTGCAGACTAAATGTGTTAATCATTGTCACCCGGTGTGTGCTTCTACCCTGCCAAGTTTTCACCAGTTCTCAGTGCAAAAGATAAAATATAGGGGGACAATCTACTGGTTTTCCTGCACCGATGCTCAACACTTCCCTATCACAGCATCTTCACATCAAGAATTGGTCCCAAAGGTGCTTTTCTCAGAAAGTACTTTATTTTCTTTGAAAACATTTCACTTCTCATGCAAGAAGCTTCTAAGAGTGAAAGGTTTTTGAAGAAGATAGCAAGAAAGTTCACTTTTCCTTTGGAAAAAGAACTTTTGGGATAACCAACCATGGGCCTGGATGACTGAGACTCTCCATAGATATCAGGAACTATTCCCAGTTTAAAATAATTGCTAATTGGGATTGTTGGTGGAATTTACCTGGGTCAGGTTAGCTTGGGGAAGGTAGCATGGAAATATACGTTCAATTCTGTTTTCACTGCTTCAGTGTGCCACAGGTGGCCAAAACAGCATTTTGGAAGTCAATTCTCTATTACCAAATTCATTACGGGTAGATTCCCAGTTTTTGCCAGACTGGAATCAGCTAAATAATAGAATTTGTTATGTTATGTTATGGAGGAAACTGCGTATCTTAAATCTCTTGTATGAGTTAAATGGGAACAGTTATGCAACAAACAAGTGTCTTTCCTTTAGGGCAGCCCCGAGGGGTGCAACCTGCTTCGAGGTCTGGGCCACCCATGGCCTGAACATCTACGTTGACCACACGACAAAATCAAAGGTCTCCTGCCATGACTCAAAATGGCCGCTGGACAGGACCGTCAAGGTCAGCGCCACCATGGATGCACCAAGCAATCAAGTTGATGACGAAAAGGTGAGGATAGAAACATACGCCAAAGATGGCTTTTGAGCTCCAACGGATCCTGAGATTTGTAGGCCTCGTTTCAGACCTACAAATGGAATTCCTGAACAAAATCATCATAAATAAATCAAATGGAATGACTTGTCTGCAGAGGTTCTGGGTGCTCCAACACTGGATATTTTTAATAAGAGATTCGACAACCGTTTGTCTGAAATGGAATAGGGTCTTGAGCAAGGGGATTGGCTGACTGGACTAGAAGACCTCCAAGGTTCCTTCCAACTGTTATTTATCATCATAAGTTCCACAATAAGCCTGGTTTATAAAGTTCAGATAGTGCTTAAACCTGGCAACGGAAACCAGTGGAGAATTGTGGCTAGGGAGGCAAACAAAAAATGAATTCATGTGATAGGTTCTCAAACTCCCCTCCTTCAGAGGAGCCTTGTTAAGACACAACAGAATTGTTTAAAACCCAAGTGAAATAAATGTTCTGACCAAGGGTTCCAAGACCGTAAGTACACACATGCTTATTTTAAAAACAAGTCTTGTTTTATTGCAACGCCGGTAATAAATTTCAATCAGCCCCTCGAGATACGCACTCACTTTTCTTTCTCGTGAAGTGCTGCCAATAACAGAAGTATTAAATGAACTAGAAAAAAAAAAAACCAGCCAAAATACAATGAGCTTCAAGAACGAATCTGAACCGAACAAATGACTTTGCTTCCTGCAAAGGTTTCATCATCTTTGCCTGTCCTTTATATCTTATGGGAGGGGCAATCACCTCCCAGCCTTACTCCCAAGTTGCCCCTTTTGTTCCATCTAGCAGCTCAGCGCACACGCACACTGGGAACAGGCTCCCCTGGGTTGTCTGCCTCGCTGCCGCCAGACTCTGAAGGCAGCACCCCACTCCCAGGTGGTCCTGGCCCCATCACTGCGTCGAACGCAGGACCCTCGTCCAAGTGTTCTCCAGACTCCTGAACTGACCCCCTTTCTTCTCCACTGTCCGATTCCGTTGCCGTCCACGTAGGCTGCCGGCGAACCACGACAATAAAAGTGCAGGGTAAAGTTTATTAGAGCTGTGGAGGTAAAGTGGTTAGAATGAGTATTGCAGGCTAATTCTGCTGGCTGCCAATTCCCAGCAGCTCAATCTTCACCAGTTGAAGGTTGACCGAGCTTCCACCCTTCCGAGGTTGGTAAAACGAGGACCTACATTGTAGGGGGCAATAGGCTGACTCTGTAAATGGCTTAGAGAGGGCTGTGAAGCACTGTGAAGTGGTATAGAAGTCTAAATGCTTTTAAGGGGTGCCATCTCCAACATCCTTTGACTTAAATTTACTTGTTTGATGGTATATTGCAGATCAGAGTTTCGTACTATGATGGTAACGGCAAGGTTCCCATTGCCAAAGCGATTCTGCATATTACCTGCATAGGTAAGTTGGCAGGCGATGCAGAGGCGTGGCACAGCCCAAAGGGTGAATTGGGTGGTGGTGGAGGGCTGTAACTCAGCACATCTGGATCAGTGAACCCTTATAAAGAAAGTGAAATATTTGGGGATTCAATTAATGGCTAGACGTGGAACAATTAAGGAAGATTAAGTATTATAAACTGAAACAACAAATTGACACAGACCTGGAAAAATGGAAAAACCTGCAACTATCTCTTAATAGGAAGAATTGCAACAATTAAAATGAATACATTACTGAAACTACTATATTTGCTCAAAACAATTGGAGAAAAAAATACTGTGATGATCTTAATAGAATAATATGAAATATATACGGCAAGGGAAGAAAAAGCATATTTAATTATCCATGTATTAACTGCAGCTAGAATAGTATTTGCTCAGAATTGGAAAAGCGGAAAAAATTCCGATAGAGGGAAAGGTGTTTGAGAAAATATTAGAATGTGCAGAGATGAATAGATTAACCTTGTGGTTAAAGAAAAAGAAGAAACTTGAATATTATATGGTATGAGATTTATCTTATCAATGGTTGGAAAATAAAGTAATAAGTTAACATTGAGTAGATGACTATATAGAGGAGTAAGTTAAGATTGTTATAAAGATAAATGTGTAAGTGATAATGGCATAGAAAGAAAAAGTGATTACTGTTATTGTGGTAAGGAAAGTATATTAATTATAAATGTCAGCACAAGATATACGTACCCAGTTGACACACTGTTTGAATAAAAGGAGGATTTGTTGTAAATATAAAAAATAAAAAAAACTTTAAAACCGGGGGAAAAGATGAATTGGAGGTTGGGGGCTGTAACTCAGCACATCTGGATCATTGAACCCTGTCCTGATTGAGCAGAGAAAAGGAAAAAGCAGGCAACTAACCAACATCGCCTGAAATGCACTTTTCTTGCAGAAAAAAAACCAAGACTGGGGTCACAAGTAGAGGCTTTAGATGAGAATAATGAAATGTTTCTGTTTTAAAACGTCTCCCCTATTTGTTTTCCTGCTGCAGAAATGTCCTTGGATGCGGATATAAACCGTTCGGGAACAGTGACCAGAGCAGGGAATCAAAAGGTTCAATTAAAATAAGATTTGGGCTGGAGTAGAAAGGAGAGGAATGAAAACATTTGTAAACAGAACGCGGAGAGGTTGGGAAACTGATGGCTTTGTGGGCTGTTTCTCCAGCCGGCAGGGAAGGATGGGATTTGCTAACACATCTGGGGCACGCCTGTGTGGGGAGGCAGAGCCGAAGAGGGACCCCCGCTCCTTTCCTGATGTCCATCCTGACACGGCTTCCATCCCTGCAGGACCAGTGGACCTGGGGGCCGGATGGAAAAGGCGCCATTCTCTTGGTGAACTGTGACCGAGACAATCCTAAAGCCCCAAAGGAAGACAACAAGGACGCCAGGCCGACTTCCATACAGGGTAGGCAGCTGGACCCATGGTTAAGGGCAGTTTTTCTCATCCTCAGAAACTTTTAAGAGGTGTGGATTTCAACATCCACAAACATCTACAAAAGCAGTGTTGTAACGGAAGGACACGGTGCCGAAGTAAAGACAGACCTCAGCTGATGACCGGTGGCATTTACGCCGGTCACAGAATGGGTGCTTGATGGCCCACATAATACCTCAAAGTTCTCATAAATGGGTATGGCATGCTCCCATGGTCACCTGAATAGCTGAGGTCATCAACCGAACTAAAGCCAGGTTGTAGTTAAGGAAAACGTGAGGCCAGAAGTCAAGAGTTTCTGGCTCAATTGGAATTGAATTGGTTTCTCCTTTTAGACCTTGAGGATATGTCCCGTATGATCCTGACAACTCAGGGACCTGATGAAGTTTTTGCAAACTACCAGCTGACTCTCCACATCTCCAAAGCTGATGATGACAAAGTGGGAGTCTTCTACATTCAAAGTAAGTGTTGAAGGCCAGCGGGCCACTGGGCTTTCGGACTGCGGTCGAAGGTGGATGAAGCTAAAACCCAAAGCTTATTGTAGATTCTTTTCAGTAACTATGGTGCCCGTAGTTTCATGCTCCTCACCTAGAGAAAACAAGGGAGCATTTTTGAGGGGATCAAGCCAATACCTATCTTCCTTGTCCTACACCAAACAGGAGGTCCATAATTTTGTTATGACAGATCAAAAGTTTGTCCAGCTCTCGCCAATGATAGCCAACTGTAAGTTCCTCTGGATCTCAAATGGATTTAATTATGTAGATTACCTAAAACTGCCAGATCTGGATAAAGATATATGTTTGCTTCCAAGAAACAAATAAAACAAGATTGGGTTTTGATTGACAGGAAAGGAGCAGCTATATTACAAACACATTCTAGGATCCGGAAAGATCTCCTACCATGTCAAACGGAACTTTGGTCAAGTGCAGACCGTTTTCTACGTTGAAGGGCTGAAATTTCCAGACATTGACTTCTCAGGGCTTGTCACTTTCCACGCTTCACTCCTGGAGCCCGCCAGGAAGGTATGGAGAACTGTAGAAAGTATGAACAGAACCTTGAAATCTTAAATTTAAATTTCCTTAATATAGAGCATCAATGGGGCATTATCTTAAGCTTCTTTCTTGCTCTCTTCCTTTCTTGGTCTAAAGAGAATGTTTACCTCTCTTTGTTGTTTTACTTCAAGCTTAGCTCTGTACTCCTAAATCTTGTAACTTTGAAGTGTGTAGATGCATCTTTCTGGAATTCAATGTATTTCTTGGTCCTTGTCTCCTGTACTTTCTTGCTTCAGGGGGTCCCAGAAACTTCCATTTTCACGGATTCTTTGGTCTTCCGGGTTGCTCCATGGATTATGACCCCAAACACCTTGCAGCCAGTTTCTGTTTATGTCTGCAGGTAAGGAGTCATGGACCAACACACACGTATGAAGCTTTCTGTACACCCACCATCAACTTTGGTGAACACCTGAGCCTTTATCTCTCCTCTATTTTTTTCTTTCAAAATGTCCGCCGATTCCTCGGAATATCCAGTGTCGATGACAATAAGGATTTCGTGGAACATATAAGGAAGCTTGCTACAAAAGCTGGATGCAAATTAATTATCTGTCCGGAAGAGGAAAATCAGGAAGATAGATGGATCCAGGTAGGTCACAAACCAGAGGCCATTTGAGACAGGTGATCAGCCAAATGAGATCCTGATACCACTGAAGAAGAAACTGGGGTAGTGCTTATCCTGCACACCTCCAGAAATTATTGGAGGTGTTTTCAATGCGTTTTTTACGTGGCACCTCTTCCTAGTAGTGCATCCGTTAGTGTTGTAACATCAACTGAAATTCTTATCCAGATTCACGGTTCCCAATATTTTCATTCTGTTGCCATAAAATCTATGCCCATAAAGAATATTTGTAGCTCAAGGTTGACATGAGGGGTCCTTGGTGCTCTCTGAGTTTGGTGGTTTTCTTGCAGACGTTTCATTACCCAACTAGCGAACTTCATCAGTGCTAGAAGGGAGGAGGGTTTTGCAGAGAGGAGGAAGGAGGGAGGAGGAGGACTGTGGGGTCCTTGGTGCTCTCTGAGTTTGGTGGTTTTCTTGCAGACGTTTCATTAATCATCAGTGCTAGTAAGGAGCGCTGTGTGCTGTCAGTTTATATTCTGGTGTCTTGCCTATCTGTGTAGGTGGAGAACTCTGAAGAGATTATTTGGTTGGGTTGTTTACTGATAGCTGTTTGGCAGTTCTTAATTGGGATATTGCTTGATTGTTGGTAAGCAATACCCCAAATCAAGAAACTGCCAAAGAGTCACAAGTGAACAACCAACCAAAGAATTTAAGACTGCCCTCACCCACACAAATAGGTAGGTCATTTTTATAACGGACAGCAAACAACATAACCTACTAGCACCGATGCTGCTGCCTAGTTTGGGTAATGAACATCTGCAGGAAAAGAAGCCAGCTCAGAGAGCAGAGACCCCTCAAAACTATGGCTAAAACATTTTTTAAAAGTAATTTTAGTAAACAAACCCGAATTGCTTTGCCTCGAGTTTCAGCGGATTGAAATCCAAAGAGAACTTTCCATAATCCATTGCACACCATAAAGAGGCAACACCTTTTAAATTTTATTTCAACTCTTCTGTCGATCTAGGATGAGATGGAGTTTGGGTACACCCAGGCTCCGCACAAAACATTCCCGGTTGTCTTCGACTCCCCCAGGAACAAAAAGCTAAAGGATTTCCCCTTTAAGGCGATTTTGGTAAGTGGTTCCCCCCCACCCTCTTTCTGCTTTGAGCTTGGCTGTTGAAAAATCATAGCTCTGCATTTTATCCCCAACACTTATTCATTAAAAAAAATCAAAATTCATGGTTGCTTTACGGATGTTCCATTAATCAAAGATGAGGGTTGAGAGTTCAGAAGGACTGGAACAAGTTTTATATGCATTTATCTAAGTCAATCTCACCAATGCAGCATGGATATCAAGAGGATTGAATAAGGTGTGTTTGATTTGATGCAAGTGTTTGTTTTCCCCCTCAAGGGTCCAGATTTTGGGTATGTAAAACGGGAACTATCCCCTGATATGTCTGGTAGTAGCTTGGACTCATTTGGGAATCTTGAAGTCAGCCCTCCAGTGACTGTCAAAAGCAAGGAATATCCCCTTGGGCGCATCCTGATAGGAGCCCCTTTTCCTAGGTAAGTGATGACAGGAGGCCATATGAACGTTCCCATGTATCTGTGGTTTAAACTCAGAAGAGTGTCTAGGGAGGGGTGTCAAACTTCATTTCATTGAGGGCCACATCAGGGTTGTGTTTGACCGGGGGTGGTGGTGTCCAGGATGGGTGTGGCCAGCTTGACATCCCTTGTGTCAGGGATGTCTGTGGTGGCCCAAGCACTCTGCCAGCGAAAACAGGCTCCCGAGCTCCATTTTCAGCTGTGATGGCCTCCTGCCAGTCACTGGCAGAGGGTGGCAGGAGGCCATCACAGCCCAAAACGGAACGTGGGATGGTCGCTGTTAGGAATGTAAGTCACCTAACAGTTGGGTTGGAAAATATATAAACCAGGATAGGCATTTTAATACTGTCTCTTTAAGGGAATGCTAAAATTGCAATTGGGTGTGGTTTCTCAAACGGCCATCAGATGGAAACCCAGAACCAAACCTGGGTTGTTCTGATCTGTTGTTGCCGAGTGTGTTGCCATTCCTGCATTTCCCTATTGACTGTTGTTGATCGTTGTGATTCTTGGATTTGATGTGAGTCTTTTACTGAACAGTTTTTGATACTGGACTTTGTTATTGGATTATCCCTGGACTGAAAACTGACTGCTATAACCGTGTATCACTTGGACTGTGTTCGGACTTTGCTTAACCGTTTACTGGAAGTAAAACCTACATTTTACTGTTGTGGCTCCGATTCCTGAGCCTGTGCTGTCAGAGGACTTGGAAGATGAGGAGGAACTGGGAATGCCTTCCTCCCCAGGACCTTCCTCTCTGGCAATGCCTTCCTCCCTGATAATGCCTCAGGTTTCATCAGACAACCGAGAGGAACAGCCTGAGATTAATCAGGGGGAAGGCATATCAGAGCAGCCCCTGACATGGAGTCAAGAGGAAGAATGTTGGCTTGATCCTAGGCAGTGTTGTAGGGAGAAACGTGAGCAGCAACGTAGGAGGCATGGGAGGGTCAGAGAGTGAGCTGTCATTGAGCCACACTCCACAGGAGATAAAAGTGGGTGTGTTGTCAACTGGAACTTTGTAAGGGACAAAATTTGATCTTACTTCAGGTTTTCTTTGTGAATGATTTTTGTGGTCTGCCTTGTAATTTTCTGTGAGTAGCTTTTTACTTGTTATCAATTCGGACTTGACAGGCAGAACGTGTTGGAACGCCAAGGACATTATCAGTTCCAAAGAATTAACTCTGTGAAGTCCGAGCCAGCTTGCCTGCCTGAGTTTCCGTGAGTTTGTACTCTTTCATCTTTTGGGAAAGAGGAAAAGTGAGACAGAACATTTTACTATACAGTTTAGCTGTGTGTGTGTTATTCAACATTACTCTCACTACGTCTCCCTGTATGCGTTCTCCTAACAGGGAATTACCTCAACAGTTGCGCACGTCCCAAGCTCCGTTTTCACAGGCAGAGGTCCTGCGGACCAGATCTAAACACTCCGGGCCTTGAGTTTGACACCCTTGCTCTAGGGGTTCCTCGGCCCATATGGAAGTTCTGGAGGAGTTTGTCCTAGCATCCACAAGAATTGTAGATTTCTCCAAGTTTATTTACCCCTGCGGCTTATCTTATAATGCATACTGTATGACTTAGGGTGGCATGAATCAATCCATTTTGGTGCATTAACAAATCATGGTTAAGCACACCATAATTCAGATCCCACCTTTTTTTTTTTTTAGGCATAGGCCCATGTCCAAACTGGTCAAGGACTTCCTCAAAAGCCAAGTTGTACAATCTCCCATTGAACTCTACACGGATTGGCTCTTTGTGGGACACGTAGATGAAATCCTGAGCTTTGTACCTGCCCCAGACCAGAAGGTATGGATCTCAACTTTCTTTCAAACTCGAAAGGGATTTAAGTGACCAACATACATGCAGGCAGAATTGTTGGGACGTTCTGCATTGCCACTCCGTTGGTGCAGCTTCTAAGTGTCCCAGCAGACCCTCTGATGAAATATGGTTGTATTTACATTATTCACCACCAAGAGACATTTTGTTTCAAACCCTAGTCCAAGGGTCCTCAACCCCTGGTCCTTGGACAGGCCCCAGGCAGTGGCACGCCAGAAAATAGGACATGCAAAGCCGATCCGTGGGATGCAGGCGGCACATGACACCACACCCCCTCTGGTCCAAAGAAATCCTTCTGTCCACAGAACCCATCCCTGGTGTCCAAAACCTTTGGGGAACGCTGCTCTAGTGCCTCTGATCCCCTCAAAGAAATTGGCCTAATAAAATATTTCAACTTGCCATTCTTAAAAGCCTTGGAGGCCTATAAGATCTATAAATCCACCCACACTGGTATAATGGAGGTTTCTCAATCGTGCAGGTCATATTGTCCCAAAATCTGCTTTTTCAAAAGGAAACTTCTCATAGCAATAGCTGTTAAAGACTTATATACAGCTTCCGAGTGCTTTACAGCCTACATCTAAGTGGCCTATTGTCCCCAACAATCCGGCTCGTTTTATCTGTTTTGGCAGTTAAAGTATCCGGTCAGCAACTTCCGGCTGTCTACCCTGCGAGAAGCTTCTCCTAAGCCGCTAATTTTTTTATTTTTAGCCTATTGGTCTTCTCTCTGTCCTATCTGCCTTACTCCCTCATATTCCAGGGTTTCCGCCTGCTGCTAGCCAGCCCGAGAGCCTGCTTCAAACTGCTGAAAGAGAAGGAAAACGAAGGCCACGGAAAAGCCAAAATGCCCGAAGGTCGGTTGGTTCTTTCTCCTGTGTCATAAGATGCTAAATCATCAGAACTGAAACCAAAGATAACTGGGAAGCCCCGTTTTTCCAAAGAGTGCTTCGTTTTCTGAACAGGAAAAGGTCAACTGTTGGGCTGGGTTGCGTTAAAAGGGGTTGCTTCTCTCCCTTCCAACTTGTTCTCCCCACTGGGAGCAAGCAAGGAGTCTATAGAGTAGTTATAATAATCCTTCTCACTAAGCACTGGACTTCTAACTAGGAATTAAAAGACGCATGCACACCAAAAACCAAATCATTTTCCTTTTTTCGAACAGGAATTGAATTTCAGGAACACGGTCGGCAGCCCCGTTCCATATCAGAAATCATCGCTGACAGATTCTTAAAGAAGTGGAATGAATACTGCCAAGTAAGACCCCACATATTCTGCTGTTAAATCTGTAGACGGAGTGATCCAACGAAGACGACTAAGGGATTATTCGTTGTTCTGTTCAGACGCCGATGGCCTTATCTAGTCAGTAAAACATTAAAGCAAGGGGTACACGTGAAGATGGACCCACCTTTCCAATCAAATTCTAAAACCTCCAGGTGTTACAGGTATCCTTGACTTAAAAAATAGTTCGCTTAGTGGCCAAAGTTACAGGAGCACTGAAAAAAGTGACTATTAGGGGTCATTTTTCACCCCGAGCAGCATTGCAGCATCCCCATGGTCACGTGACTGACGTTCCGATGCTTGACAACCGACTCACAACGGTTGTAGTGCCCCGCGATCACGTGGTAACTCTTTTGACAAGCAAAGACAATAGGAAAACCAGATCCACGTAATCACCATATTACTAATTTAACAGCCACACTGATTCCCTTAACGAACGCGGCAAGAAAAATCTTAAAATGGAGCAAAAGTCAACAGATTTCTCACTTAGCCACATACATCGTGGTCATAACTCAAGGACTACCTACACCGAAGTTAAGGCTTCATTGAACTCTCTTTGCAGGCACTGAAATATTAAATAGGGCCTCTCCTTACGCCTTTCTTTTCACTAAAGCTTCTTTCTTCCCTTTTCAGAAATGTATTGATTGGAACCGAAACATCCTTAAAGAGGAGCTGGGCCTGGCAGAGGAAGACATTATTGAAATACCGCAGCTTTTTCACCCTTTTCTCCAGATACCTCGGGTTTTGGTTCCTCATGTGATTACGGCTTCCGCTGAGGCTTATTTCCCAAACATGGTAAGATTTCCAGCCCCAAATGTGTTTTGAGAAGAACCAGCCAAGAAATGACCCAGCAGGTCCTACCAGTCAAAGGTTCAGCTAAATTCAGCTGTCCTTCGGAGAAGCAGAGAGCATCTCAGCGGGACCAGATTGGACCTTCTGGTCGCCAAACCCTTCTCCAGACAAGGGTGATGTGGGATGACAGGAAGAGCCACGTGCACTTTCGATGTGTTGGTTGGATTCACACATCACAAGAAACTCTTTTAACACCAACCTTTTGTGGCTTGCTGGCCCGGCTGTGGGGGAAGAGGGGAACTAGGCTGCATTGAGTGGCGGGACAGTGCGCACGCAACCCTTGAGCAAGGGGTCAGCTGGCACCCACACGTGAAGCTCGACTTGCACGAGTGGCAAGCTGGCACACATGCACATGCCCACTGGGCCATCACGCAGGCGAGTTGTGCGCTAGAGCCATCCGTGGCCCAATTCCAAGTAGGCCACAGCCCGGCAGTGGCCTAGAAATTGGGGATCCCTTCCCAAAGGGGTTTGTTTGGCTCAAAATACTGGGTGAATCCCGTGGTCTCGCGTGTTCCCTTCTACAGCATCCTTCTGAACAGCTCTAACGTGAAGCTACACAATCCCACTGAAGGTGGCAAATCAAGATTTCATCAATAGTAAAGGATTTAACCTCTTTGCCTTTAAAAGTAGCTGGAGAAGTGGACTATTACAACTTATCGGTCTCTTTATTGTTGAATTTCACTAGGATAAAGAAAACGGATTGCAACCTAACCTGTGAGACCAATGGTTATCTCCCTTCTGCAGGTAAACATGATTGTTCTGGGGAAACATCTGGGCATCCCAAAGCCGTTTGGACCCATCATCGACGGCCAATGCTGCTTGGAGAAAGAAGTCCGCCGTCTCCTGGAGCCCTTAGGGTTGTCCTGCAATTTCATCGATGACTATGGAACTTACTACCTCAAGCTCGGCGATGTTCACTGTGGCACAAATGTCCGCCGGAAGCCCTTTTCCTTCAAGTGGTGGAACATGAGGCCTTGAGGGCCTCATCACGCCTTCTGTTTTCCACCCAATGAGGATGATGAGGCAGAGTTTGTGTCTCTTCTCCTGCATTTCCACAGGAAATCCAATAACTTTTCTAAGAATTCCTGGGTGATTCCTCTTTCAGTTCTTATATGAAGGTGCTTAGGAGCTTCTCTTGTGATTTAAACTTTCTCCAGTCTTTTCTCATCTGTAAATGTATCAGGTCTGCCAAAATTTTGTTAGTTGTATTCCCCAATCACCCCACCAAAAAACAGGGCAGCTAAATTCTGGCAAGATGATCTAATCCAGCGGTATCAAAACTCGTGGCTTTTGGGGCGGAAGCGTCACACGCTGGCCATGCCCAACCCCGGTTTAGCGAAGGGGAAAAAGTCGTGATACGTCACGTGATGCCGTGAGTTTGACACCCCTACTCTAATCCTTCTCCTTATCCACACACAATTCTAAAACTAGTTACAGAGGTTCAACAAAACATTTCATAGCCCTAGAAGGTTCATGGTCTTTCGAAGAATGCTTTTTCTGTCTCCTCAACAAAGCTCAGGTTTAGCCACCTAAATAAGCCAAGTCAGATTGTCCGAAATCAAGAAATCCCCAAAACACACTCTAAAAATAGACATCCAACAGATGTAGAACATTTTCCAAAAAACAAGTTGGTCCAAAATCTTGCGAACCTGGGATGAGAGTTGAAAAAAAAAAAATTTGATATGAAAGTACTTAGTGGCTGGTCCCAGATGTGTTGTGAAGGCTGGCAGCCCTTCCAAGTATACTGATCAAAATAGCGATTATGAGTAATTAATCCATATTTTAGTTTCATGTTAATTTCTATATCATTTCAAACCACTTGATTTGCAAAGAGACATTATGAGGGTGCAATGATTGTGAAGTCCGTATTTCTTCAGTTTTTAAATGGAACGCACACCGTTGAATTATTATATATCAACAAAAATAGTTGCAGAGGCTTTTCTCACGAATCTACAAATTGTTTGAATAAATTGTGAAGAACAGTTAAACATTCTGTTCCGTTTTTTTTAAATCAATGCGTCCGTTATACGGTCATAAAGGCAGAATGAGAGGGGAGGTAGTCTTTTCCTTACAAAAAGTCTGCTCACTGACCGCTCAAAGTTACGACGGCACTGAAAAAAGTGACACGACCATTTTTCAGAATTACGACCTTTGCGGCATCTAAATTCAGAGCTAGAAGAATTTAAAGAAATCAGAATTTAAAGAAATCAATACACCTACATGGAAAATATGGAGGGGCTCAAAAGAATTTTGGAGTTCTGCTGCTTAAGGTACAGGAACACCTGTGATGGGTCTTTTTCACTGACTTTTCTCTGTTGACTTTAACCATTTCCAACATCTCCATCCAAACTCCTTGACTAGCTTCTTCGGATAATTTTTGTCTCACTTTCCATGTCTTGGAGAAATGATCATTGGGGTAAGCATGACAATATCAAGATGTTCTCCAGAGTTTAACCCAGCTCAAAAATATCTCAGTAAAATTGCTCAGGGGCTGCCAAGCAAGCAGTGGCACATTATCCCCAAAAGCGGGATCTTGTAAAGAGTAGGCTTCCTTCAATCTCCTCCTTTGGGGGGTTTACAGTTTGACTCTGATTATGGCTTGTCTCTTCCAACAGAAGAACAAGTAAAACAAACAAACAAACTCAAGAACTCAAAAGTCCCTCATTTCCACACCTCGTTCTTCGGCCATTTCTGTTCTAACAGAAGATTCTGCATCTCTTTTGGAGGGATTAAGTGCTTCTCAACACTCAACTTTCCTAAAACTCTAAATGCTTCCAGAAACATCTTGACAGTTTTATACCTGACCGCTATTTTATTGTTTATTCTCCCTTAATAACTTACAAAATTTTCAACTTATCATTTTGAAGAAAAGATGTATTACATACCTAGTCTTTCCGCCGCCCCGTGAGTACTCAGATGAAAAGCTGAGTTAATCCCTTGGGGGTGATTCAATTGATCTGACAAACTCTCTCCAGAACTTGGAAGTGAACTGGACCCCACGATCCGAAACCTAGAGCTGCCTTTCCAGGCAATTCCATGACCTGTTTTTAGCCAGATCAGGAGTTTAACAATCTGCGTGGCAGATTTGTTCTAAAAATATTTGGCTATGCAACAGGTCCTGATATAAATGCAGGAGCATCTCTACTGTTAGGTCAGTACAGAAGGAAGGAAGAAATTAAGACTGCAAAGTCTAAACAAACCCATCATTTATTTAAACATTGGAGAAATATAAAATAAAATGAAGGGGGGAAAAAAAAACAAAAGAGAATGCCAAGACTAGGATAAAACCTTTTTTTCCCATCTCATTTAACTTAAATTTGTTCTCGTCCCGCTGACCTCTTCTTCCCCTTGGTGAAGAAAAGAAGCCAGCAGTTTTAAACGCAGACCTTTATCCCAAAAGCAAAACTTTTTACTTAGCACAAAGACAGCCATTTCTTTGGTGAAAATGGAAGTACCGGTAACTCTTTTTCTTCTTTTTCTCCCATGGCAAATAAATTATCCCCCGTTACAATGATGGTGAAAGAGGGAAAGTGTCAGTCTGTCCCTCATAATGGGTTAGAATGACTTAGGCAAGGAAGAAAGAGGAACATCTGGTAAAATCAATAAAACAGTAAACGGGGGTACCAAACGTGGCTGAACGTACCAAAACAGGAAGAGAAGAAAACGTTTTGAAACAGCCCTGTGCAAAGGGAGTCGACATCATGATTTTTCTCAATTGCAAATTTAACATCCAGTCAGCAGGTGCTGCCGCCTTCCAACTTTCCCCAAGTGCCATCTATCAGTGGTGGGTTTCCATTTATTTTTTCCCCTGGTTGATGGCTCATTGTTCTAACTCAAAAGTTAGCAGGTTAAAAAGGTGGCCGAACCCCATCGAGGGACGCCCATGATGGTGGAAGGGGAAAGAGAAGTGCGTAGCTTTCAAGGCAAAGCCTTTCCATCCCATAAACACCGATTGGTGGGCTGAGGCAGCTGCAAATTAAGTTCCCACGATCAGGGATCAAAGGGTGGTCGCCTCTTAGGGGTTCAAAAGAAGGGGTCTGCAGCAATGGCGTTCCCCAGACTCAAAATATTCTAAGGGGTAGGAGGCCTGATGCGTCAGTCTCAGAACCAACCTCTCAGCCGCCATTCAACGATCTGAAGAAATTCCTCTTTCGAAAGAGGAACTCAAAATTTCCACTTTCTAGGAAAGTGGACGCCAATCAATAAAGAGAAAAAGATAAACAAGGATTTTTTTTTTCCAGTTTAAGTACCAGGATCAGAATTTAGCCTAGAGAGGGAAATTTCCCTCCAGCTATGTTTTAAGGCAACAAGTTCACTTCACTTGTTCTGAAACCAGATCTGAAGCACCCTCCTGTGGTCAGCCTGCTGATCTCAGGACAACTGCCACTTTCAAGGAAAATGTCCTACGAGTCTCCCCGTCCTCCAGATGCCCAACGAACCAGGTTGTGAGAAAGCAACGCTGTGCATCACAAAGGAACACACAATGACGCTTAGCGCCTGTGGCAACACGGAAAAACAGTGGCACAATCGCTCAGATCAATGGGAACTCTTGAACTCAGAGGCCTGATGCCCAATTATACCAAAGGAAATTACAGAAAGGCACAGAAATTAAAAAATATATATATAGTGCCTTCTTCGGGGAAAAAAACAGAAAGCATAGGCCACTCTTTGCAGTAGAAAAAAACAACTTTCAATGATGGCTTACTGGTCCCAAACAGGTTTAAGAGGGGATGAACAAATGGAGAAAACGGTGCTGAAATTGGCATCGGACTATGGTGACCGAAAAGAGACGAATTCTTCAATTTATCCTCCTCCACCACCACAAAAATAAGGGAAACGAAAACAAAATACAAAGAAGCCACCTTGGGAGAAAAGGATGGGGTGGAGGGAGCAGGGCACGGAAAAGTCGTAGCGACAGGTAGTTAAAACTTCAAATGGCGTATAAAAACCGATATCTCAGAAGTCTAACAAAATGCACGGAGGGGCGGCCCGCGGTCTCTTCGCCGACCGCCAATGGGGGCACTCGGCCGCTTGAGGGAAGAGTCACGTGCCCGGGTCAGAGGGTGCGTGGATTGTATTCTGGCAATTTCTTGATTTTCTCCTTTTCAGCTTCGCTCTCATCGCGGGCAATCGCCAAGGAGTGCGCGTAGCCCATGGCTACCTGTAAAAAAAAAAAAAAGAGAGAGAGACGGGATGGCTGGTTGGATCGCCAAGCCCCGCTTCCCTTCGCGGGCAGAGCTACGCTGCACCAAACGAGCCGCGCGACAGCTTCGCGCAATCGTCGTGTTTGCGCATTAAACGAAGGCGCTGCCGGCGTTAGGAGGCAGCTCCCCGAATGCAGAGGCCGAGCGTTTTGCACGTTCTATAAAAGTGTTTTGTCATACACGCACGGTTGAGTCCCGCCAACATCCCTGCTCCTTATACAGTAGTTTGAATATGCTCAACATTTGAGGAGATTGAAGTGTAATTATTAAATAAACCAATACACAGGTTTAGCTTTTCCCCTTCCTACCCCTCCCTTCCGGCCCCCCCCCCCCGCAAAAAAACCCCTACTTCCTCCTCTCACACTCCCTGTGTTTCCTTCTCTTCCCACCAAAACCTCCTCCTTCCATTCTTTCCCTTCCCTGCTACACACACACACACTCTATCCATCTGTCTCTATCATACATACATACATACATATATATATACACCTATCTTCTCTGTTTATATCTGTCTATCATCTATCCCCCTATCCCTCCCCCCCTCTCCCCACCCATTTCTTTCTTTCTTTCTTTCTTTCTTTCTTTCTTTCTTTC